GGCCCCGGCCCGTCGCCCCTAGCCCGGCCCCTTGGCCCCGTCGCCCCTTGACTCGGCCCCTTGGCCCCATCGCCTCTAGCTCGGCCCCTTGGCCCCATCGCCCCTAGCAACGGCCCCTTGGCCCCGTCGCCCCTAGCCGCGGCCCCTTGGCCCCGTCGCCCTGTCGCCCTAGCCTCGGCTTGTAGCGACCTGTGGCCCCGTCGCCCCGTCGCCCTAGCCTAGGCCCCTCGCGACCTGTGGCCCCTTGGCCCCTTCGCCCCGTCGCCCCGTCGCCCTAGCCTCGGCCCCTAGCGACCCGCGACCCCTCGGCCCTCGTCGGCCCGTCGCCCCTAACCGCGACCCGTCGCCCCTAGCCTTGGCCTCGTGGCCCCTCGCAACACGTCGCCCCGTCGCCCCGTCGCCCCGTCGCCCCCTAGCCGCGGCCCCTCGCGACCTGTCGCCCCGTCGCCCCTAGGTACGGCCCCTCAGCCCCGTCGCCCCTAGCCGCGGCCCCTCGCCACCAGTCGTCCCGTCGGCCCCGTCACCCCTAGCCGCGGCCCCTCGCGACCCGTCGCCCCCTCGCCCCTAGTCGCGGCCCCGTCGCCCCTAGCCTCGGCCCCGCGGCCACTCTCGCGACACGTCGCCCCTCGGCCCCCCCCTTCGCGTTTGGCCCCTCGGCCCCCACTTCGCGTTTGGCCCCTCGGCCCCTAGGCCCCTCGGCCCCCACTTCGCGTTTGGCCCCTCGGCCCCTAGGCCCCTCGGCCCCTCGGCCCCTCGGCGCCCCCCCCCGCCCCCCCCCCCCCCCCTTCGTGTTTGACCCCTCGGCCCCTAGGCCCCTCGGCCCCTCTTCCCCTCGAACCCTTGGCCCCTAGGCTACACGGCCCCTCAGCCCTCTTTGTACCTTGCCCCGCGGCCCGGCGTCCCTAGGCCCCCGGCCCCTCGGCCCCTGCTACTTCTACTGCTGCTACTGCTACTGCTGCTACTGCTGCTACTACTACTGCTGCTACTGCTGCTACTGCTACTGCTGCTCCTGCATACTGTGCCACTATGGCCTCGCTTCGAGTTCTCGCGTTCGGTCATGAGGGTAGACCGGTTCAGTTTGACACTTCGCTCGATGACCTGCAGCTGTACCTACTGAGCGATTCTAAGGACAGTGTCTCGCTGTTTGACCTAGCGTCAGGCGCCGCTACTGCCCCTCCCCCCACAGCTGACAGTGCGACCCGCTCACTGTGGCTTACTGGCGACGCTGCTACCCGCTTAGCCACTCGCAACCACCTGCTGTTAGCCGAATGCGCTCACTTCGGACAGAACAGGACCGCACAGGCATTGTACGACTCTGTAGTTACTCGCTACTCCTCCCCTGCCACTACTGCTCTAGGCCGCCTGCTTCTGCCCTACCTGTTCCCCGAGCTGTGCGCCTTTGCCAACAGTCGAGGACCTGGTTTCCCACCTTTGCGCTAGCGATGGTCGCTGCCGCGCTGCCGCCCCTGCTGAGTTCCTTGACAAGAACTAGCCCCTGATGTTCAACACCCTCTACTTCATAGTCACTCGCCTCCCTGACTCTCTTCGCTCTGACAAGGACCACTTTCTCTCTCTTGACCCCACCTCCCTCACTGTTGACCTCCTCGAGCAGCATCTCCTCGCCGCTGAGACTAGTGCGGTTGTTGTAGGTGCTGCTCGTGGCACTCCGCGCCCGCCCTTCTTTGAGGGGTGCTCCCCCTCCCCCCTTGCCCCCTCCTACGCCTCTGCTGCTGCTGCAGACGTCTCTGATGCTGGGGACGTCGGGGCTGCTTCTGCTAGTGCAAAGCACCGCAGCAGCAAGGGCAAGGGTGGCAGGGGTGGTGGAGGTGGCAGCGGTGGTGGAGGAGGTGGCAGCGGGAGTAGTGGTGGGGGCAGCAGTGGGGGTGGTTGTGGCGGTGGGACTGGTGGAGGGAGTGGGGGTTCTGGTGGCGGCGCTGGAGGCAGCGGTGGGAGTGGCGGCACTGGCGGTGGTGGGACTGGTGGCGGTGGGACTGGCGCTCGGCGTGTTGGTTCTGGAGGTGGCCAGCGTCAGCAGCAGCAGCGTCGCAGCGAGACCCAGTCTCCCTAGCAGCTTCGTGAGTGGTTTTTGCAGCGTGGGGCGTCAAGGGGTAGTGGTAGCTGCCCATATGTCATTCGCTCGGATGACCGTGCTGGTCAGACTTGTGGGCGGCTCCGCACTCAGCACCGCTGCTTCTCCCGCCTCGACCACGCTTAACGTGCTGAGTTTGGTGATGACGCCAAGCTCCCTCGCTGGGCAGATCTGCTTAGGTCTAGGATTGATATCTTTGACCTAGAATTTGATGCTATTCTTTCTGCTATGTATGCTTTGTCTGATAGTGCTGAGGGTGACTGTTACCGGTGTGTGCCGCCTGACCCAGGTATAGCTGCTCCTGCTCTAGGTGCTAGTGAGTGTGGGGTTCTCCCTGGTACTGCGCCTGCTGAGGCCTTGCACACCTTCATGTTGGACTCAGGCGCCTCGCGATGTTTCTTTCGTGACAGCACCACTCTCACTCCTCTCCCTGCACCTGTCCCGGTCAGACTGGCTGACCCCTCTGGGGGCCCGGTCGTTGCCCGTTCCTCCACTATCCTCCCGTGTCCGGCGGTTCCGTCCGGCTCACTGTCAGGTCTTCACCTCCCCTCGTTCTCTACGAACTTGGTGAGTACCGCTGCCCTCCAGGATGCGATGGTCACTACCACCACTCCAGGGGGTCAGCGTGTGTCGATCTGCACGTGCACACGGACGCGGCGTCACCTGGCCACGTTCACTCGTCGGCCAAGGTCGAGTCTGTACACACTAGCTACTGAGCCTCCTCAGGTACCTACGTCTGCTCAGGTGTCCGCGTCAGGTCAGGTAGCCGCCTCTTGCTCGTGTCGCCTCCTGTCGCACCAGACTCTTCTGTGGCACCACCGCCTGGGTCACCCCTCCCTGCCACGCCTTCATGGCATGCACTCTCGTCTTCTTGTCTACCGGAGTCTCTGCCTCCCCTCCCGCCCTCGCCTGCCGCGCCCTGCCTTCCTTGCGTCGAGGGGCGGCAGCGCGCCGCTCCTCACTCCTCCTCGTTTCCCCCGACGACTGCTCCCTTGCAGACTCTCCACATGGACGTGTGGGGCCCAGCCCGTGTCAGTGGACAGGGCCGCGAGCGCTACTTTCTGCTGGTAGTTGACGACTACACGCGGTACACCACGGTCTTCCCCTTGCACAGCAGAGTGAGGTCTCTGATGTCTTGATCCCTTGGATCCGCACAGTTCGTCTTCAGCTCTGCGAGCGGTTCGGCGAGGACCTTCCTGTCCTGCGTCTGCACTTTAACAGAGGTGGTGAGATCTCCTCTGACCTCTTGCGGGACTTTTGTCGTGGGGAGGGCATTCTCTAGTCGTTCACACTTCCGGAATCCCCTCAGCAAAATGGGATTGCTGAGCGCCGCATTGGCTGAGTCATGGAGGTCGCTCGTACCTCCATGATCCATGCGGCTGCTCCCCATTTTGTGTGGCCGTTTGCGGTCCGGTACTCTGCGCATCAGCTCAACCTCTGGCCCCGTGTCTCCTTGCCGGAGACCTCGCCCACACTGCGTTGGACGGGGGAGGTTGGCGATGCGTCGGTGTTCCGGGTCTGGGGTTCTCGTGCCTTTGTTCGCGATACGTCCGCGGACAAGCTCTCCCCCCGTGCCATCCCCTGCGTCCTCCTTGGCTTTCCCCCTGACGCGCCTAGCTGGCAGTTTTACCACCCCACCTCGCGCCGTGTCTTCCCTTCTCAGAACGTCACGTTTGACGAGTTGGTTCCCTTCTACCGTTTCTCCCCCTACCGCTCTGCCCCTCCCCCGCCCCCGCCGCTCTTCCTTGCTCCCGGTTCTCCTCCGGTAGACCCCCTCCCGCCCCAGGGTCGTGCTCCCTCGGATGTGTCTCAGGTAGACCCTCTCCCTGGTAGTGCGCCTGTTCAGGTAGCTATCGGCTCAGGTGCTGCTCCAGGTGCTGCGTCTGGGGGTGCTGCGTCTGGGGGTGAGGAGCCTGGGGGTGCGGAGTCTGAGGGTGCTGGGTCTGGGGGTGCTGGGCCTGGGGGTGAGGAGCCTGGGGGTGCTAAGCCTGCGGGTGTGGAGACTGGGGGTGTTGAGCCTGGGGGTGCTGAGTCGGAGGGTGCGGAGTCTGGGGGTGCTGAGCCTCGGGGTGCTGCTTCGTCTGGAGGTCCTGCTGGTGCTTCGCCGTGACTGTCTCCGCAGCAGCTGCGTGAGTGGTTTGTTCGGCGCGCACGCCTTCGAAGTGGAGCTACAGGAGCTGGAGGCGGTGGAGACGCTGGAGCTGGAGGTGCTGGAGTTACTGCTGGAGCTGGTGGTACTGGAGGTACTGCGGCTACTGGTCCTGGAGGTGCTGGGTACTGGAGCTGCCGGGACTGGTGGTGTTGGGGGCGCTGGAGCTGGAGACCCTACGGAGCCTGGAGCTGCTGGAGCTGGAGACACTGGCGCTGATGACGCTGGAGCTGGAGGAGATATTCGCTCTGATATCATGTCAGAATCCCAGTCACTAGACCGCTGGGATACCGTAAAAGGACTTGTTAAGTAGCGGGTCAGTGCGCCCATAACCCCTCGGGCCAACAAGCATGTAACCCTTCTCTAAGATCAATCGAGGATCACCAGTGGACCTCTGACAGTTTCCATTCCACACATACACCGCGCATGTGGATACACAACATATGTCATGGTATGTTACTTCACTGCATGGTACCTCTTGATCAAGCGAATCCATGGCATGCATTACAAGACAAAGCATTAAGTACAATTTTGCCCTCTAGTGGCCCAAAACCACTCAACGGTACACTACAACACAGGCACACTGACTCTCTTAAAGAGTCTGCTCTGCAACCCATTGCACTCCTCTCCACCACAGCAGCCACTCTGTCTCCCTTCCACAGAACCAGCCTACCACCCCCACAGTCAATCCACCTATCAACCCCACCCACCAACCCAATCAACAATCAACCAGTCACCAACCAACCAACCAATCAACCAGTCTCAAACTTGATTAGGCACTTCCCTGTTGCAGCCGCCCCCCACCACAAACACACTGTGCGTGGGCAGCGGGTCAAAATGCGCCGAATCCTCCCCTCCGCCCGGCTCGGGCAGGCACGGGTTCTGCTCATCGGACCAGAGCACACAGTCGCCACTATTCGAGTGCAGGTCGTACATCCAGTACGCGCATCCCGGGGTTTCCATGCATGCAAGGAAGCACGAGTGGGGGCGCTTTCTCCTGCCTGTGGCAAACGAGTAGAGGTGCCCCAGGTGAGGGTGGTCCCATAGGAACCCTCGCGACGGGGAGTTGCAGCTCAGCTGAGGGCACTTGCCGCGGCGGAACTCTGGAGAGAACAGGGCAGGGGAGGGGGCGTTTTGGAGTGAGGAAGTGAAGTGACCAGTGAAGGGAGAGTGAGGAAGACAGGGGCGTGGGGGTAGGAGGATTGGGAGTATATATAAGCAGGAGCACATCAATAGGAGGGGATGAATAAGGATTTATTATTGTCAGAAAGAAACGGCAGAGAGAGAGAGAGAGAGAGAGAGAGAGAGAGAGAGAGAGAGAGAGAGAGAGAGAGAGAGAGAGAGAGAGAAGGGGGGGGGAGGGGAGGGGGGGGCAAAGAGGGGGTCCAGGGACCAGTAGAGCTGGTTGGAGATGTATGGAAAGGGAGAGAGGGAAGAGGGTCCAGGCGGATCAGGTGGAATGAAGTGGACAACGCAGTAGAGGGGAAACGAGCAGAACACACGGACCATTGATAAAGGCAGCAGAGCAAGCAGAGAGGAAGAAGGAGGGGAGGAAGACGGGGAGCGGGGGCGGGACAGGAGCAGAGGAGGAAGAAGAGCGTACTCTGAGTCATATTCATGGAGGCCGATTGGCAAGGGCCTCCCACGACAGTCCAGCCAATGGGAGTGTTGTCAAAGCGAGCCGTTTCGGGATCGGATGTATCTTCGGGAATGCACGGGCTCTGATCCTGACTCCACATCTTGCACTCGCCTGCTCTCACCACGCGCGTGACGTTGACGTAGCATGGCAAGGAAGCAGGCGGGTATGGTGGAAATGATTGGGTGGGACGGGAGGCGGGGAGTGGGGAGGAGAGAAACGGGGAGCTATTGAGTCGATTCAGAAGTTGCTTTAGGAATTCTCTGGTTCTGCCTCCAGGACTTGCACTCGCATGCCAACCCCTGCATTCGCATCGCATGCTATCGCATGGAATCACCTGCACTCGCATGCAATCGCCTCAACGTGGACCAGCACGGAAAGGCAGCAGGAGGGCATGAAGGAAATCAATTATGGCGGAAGAGGAAGAGATAGACAACATCAAGATAAGAAAGGAGGGGGGGTGTGGGGATCCTGATACCGACTATTAAAACCGTTAAAAGGAAGCCGCAGAGTTTTGCATCCATCCAAAAGTTTACAGAAACGTGCAAGGGCCGGCACTTGCTTCAACATGGGGTTCACCGCAGGCCTCTCAACCATGAGAATACCAATGAGACGATTAGGTATAAACAGAAGGCGCATGGCAGTACATCCTAAACACGTTACTTAGCACCAGACATAAGCGATTTGCTTACCGTCAGCCCTAAGCATGTTGTACATCCACCACGTGCAATTCTCCGTAGTTTTGCACAAATGGCTGCAAGACTGTGGCTTGGACGGCCCACGACCCGTGTATTGAATAGCTAGGTGACCGTTAGGACCATCTAAGAAATAACCGCTCGTGGACGCGCTACACTGCATGCTCTTCGGGCAGCTACGGCGGCGCGCGGTAACGACCGCGAGAGATGCTACGAACAAGCAGATGAGCGGCACTAGAATGCGTCGCTTCATGATTCCTGGCAATTCGGGAGCTGGGTGAACGAACGGGATCGAACTTTTGAAAGGAAGCCAAAAAGTGCGTAAACAGAAAGCGGAATGGCGGTGTCTTCTTTATACTTACAGCTCTAAGATTATAGAGACAAATGCAGGCCTAGAATGGAAGGAGGTGGTCTGTGGTTGACTTGACGGAGGTGTTGGCTTGGCTGGTAGGTTTGTAGTGAGGAATTCCCCGTGGCATTTATGCGGGCAGACAACTTGGCTTCCGTAAAACGAGCCACGCTTAGGGTTTAGGTAAGTTCCAGAACATACAGTGAAGGCGGTAGTTCAGAGCGCTAAACGCTGACTACGAAACTTTCCACTGGGAAAGCCAAGGTGCTGTTTGGCTTGCTTGCAAACATATGTTTTCTGTCCGTCCTCCATTGCACAACGTTCACAGAACAGAGGTTGGTAGAAAACCATCTGGATGAGCATGATTGGCTGTGTGAGGTGTTCTTACATTTGGCGACACAGTTGGTGGACACAGAGTCACTGAACCAAAGTTGTCATCTTATAGAAATGTTCACACTTGTGAATAATAAAGAGGGGCTGTGATGGTAATGCAAATGATAAGACAAGTGCACCTGTAAAATGGATAATTAAAATGGATCCAAACTGACAAGAACCTTTGGAGATCAGGTTACGATATGTTTACTTATAAGTGGTGTATTGTGAAAGCTTGCGATTTGCCTTGCAAATGCAACGTCTCATTTCAACTGGCAAGTACAAGATTTTATCGTCCAAGCATTATACAACAGAATAGCATTGTGCATCTTATGCTAGGGTGGGAGGGCGGGAAACTTGAACTTGAAAGTTCTAAATGAAAAACGTGGGTGAAGGCCAAATGACCTTTGTCAGAGGTCCACTGGAGATCCCCGATTGATCCTACGGAAGGGTTACAGGCATGTTGGCCTGGGGGGTTATGGGCGCACTGACCCGCTACTTAACAAACCCTTTTATCCCAATGGTCTAGTGGTTGGGATTCTGACATGGTGTCAGAGGGAAGGTCTCGGGTTCGAATCCCAGTGTGTGCACTTCGGGCATCCCAGTGCGGGGGGGTGTCAGAGGTCCACTGGAGATCCCCGATTGATCCTAGGGAAGGGTTACAGGCATGTTGGCCTGGGGGGTTATGGGCGCACTGACCCGCTACTTAACAAGCCCTTTTATCCCAATGGTCTAGTGGTTGGGATTCTGACAGTACCGGAAGCCGAAGCGCTGAAGGACCTGGTGCACCATGTGTGACTAAGTCAGGGTTATGGTGCCCCGTTCTCTGTCCTGGGTGATCTGCAAGCCAAGATAGCTGCGTAGCTCACCCAGGTCAATGCAAGTGTGTCTCTTATGCAGCTCCGACTTCACAAGGGCCAGTACCTTAGTGTCAGAAGTGGCAAAGACCAAGTCGTCGACGTATACGAGGACGTAGAACGGCGGCAGCGAAGTGTCGGTGCGCAGAAACAACGACGAGTCAGCAGTCGAAGGAGCAAACCCAAGAGCCGCAAGCGCCGTCCTCAGTGTGTCATGCCACTCGCGAGGCGCCTGGCAGAGACCGTAGACTGGCCGCTGGAGGCTCCACTTGGTACCTGCAGGAAACGACCCAGTGAAGCCAGGTGGGTGGCGCAGCCAGATCTCCTTGTGCAGGCTACCCTGTAAGAAAGTTGTGCTGAAGTCAAGAGATTGCAGCTCGTAGTCACGCTGAGCAGCAACGTGCAACAGAACCCGGAGAGTGGTCATCTTCGGAGTAGGAGAGAAAGTCTGGAAGAAGTCAACTACCTGTCGATGACTGAAGCCTAGTGCAACGTAACGAGCCTAGAAGACAGGTGGAGAACCCGACGGCCGCTTCACCCTGAAAATCCACATGCCATCGACTAGGTTCGCCCCAGAAGAGGGAACTGCGTCAACGTAAGTGCCTGTGGACTTCCAAGATGCCATCTCTGCGTCCATGGCTGTCTGCCACTGAGAGGAGTAGGGACCCGTAATCGCCTCTGCGTAAGAGCGCGAGGTTGGGATGTCTGGTGCATCCGGGTCTCCCTCAGGTGCAACCAGCATGGCCACGAGATGAGGTACAGCAGCTGCAAAACACTCGAAGTCCTGCCTGTCCTCAATGACGTCAGCGCCAAGAGCACACTCACCCTTGACGGACGGAGGACAATCAAACTCAGACTCAACAACAAGACTAATGGCGTAGTCGAGACGACAGACGGCAGCAAAGTCAACAAGCTCAGCAACCAGGGCAGACGCATCAGTGGACTCAAACGAAGGGTCAGTGACAACAGTGGCTAGAAGACGAGGGACAGTAGGACTGGCAGCACGAGCTAAGTCCGACTCAGGGTACGGAACGACATGATGAGAGGACGCAGGAGGAGGCTGCAGGGGAACTCGCAGTGGAACAGAGGAAGGACGAAGTGCCATAATGTGAGTGCCGGGGACAGGAGGAGGACGCAGACGAGGAACACGACGACCAGTGCGAACAGCGCGAACAGGCGAGGCAGTACGAGACTCAGGCTCACGACGCTCTGTAAAAGAGTCTGTCTGCTCAGTGTGAGGAGAAGGAGCAGGCAGTGGGGAGTCTGGCCGTAACTGAGGCTGCGACTGGTGAGGCGGTGGACTCAGTGAGCTAGGAGGAGGGCCAGTAGAAGACGGGAGACTAAGAACCTGGCAAAGGACCGAGTCAGGTGGCGGAAGAGACGACGGTGGCGGCGGAAAGAAAAACGGTCGCCGCTGCACTGTGCCTCCAGCACCAGTACCGCAAGCTCCTGCACCCCCAGCGCCAGCACCTCCAACTTCAGGGTCTCCAGCTCCACTGCCTTCAGCTCCAGCGCCTCGAGCTCCAACGCCTCCAGCTCCATTGCCTCCAGCTCTAGGGTCTGTAGCTCCAGCTCCTCAAGCTCCAGCATCTCAAGCGCCAGTGTCTCCAGCTCCAGAGTCTCTAGCTCTAGTGCCTCTAGCTCCAGCGCCTCCAGTGTCACTGCCTCAAGCTCCAGCGCCTCCAGCGCAAGGGTCTCCAGCTCCAGCTCCTCCAGCTCCAGCGTGTCCAGCGCCAGTGCCTCCAGCTCCTGGGTCTCCAGCTCCAGCGCTTCCAACACCACCAGCTCCGACAGCTTCATTACCTCTAGTACGAGCACCTCCATGACCAGCAACTCCAGCACCTGCGGTACCTCCAGCTCTAGCAGTAACTCCAGCACCTCCAAGACTAACAGCTCCAGCACCTCCAGCTCCAATGCCTCCAGCGGCAGAGCCTCCAGCTCCTGCATCTCCACTCCGAAGACGTCTGCGCTGAGCAAACCACTCGGGCAGCTGCTGCGGTGAGAGAGGCTCCTGCTGGGGAGACAATCGTGGCGAGGCACCCGCAGGACCTCCAGCAGACGTAGTACCCCTAGGCTCAGCATTCCCAGACTCCGCACCCTCAGACTCTGCATCCCCAGGCTCCACACCCTCAGACTCAGTACCCCCAGGCTCCGCACCCCCAGGCTCAGCACCCCCACACTCCGCACCCTCAGGCTAAGCACCCCCAGGCTCCGCACTCGTAGGCCCAGCACCCCCAGGCGCAACACCTCTAGCAGCACCTGAGTCTACATCGACCTCGACGGGCACGGTCCCGGGGAGTGGGTCTACCTGAGGCACACCTGAGGGAGCAGGACCCTGAGGGGGGAGGGGGTCTATCGGAGGGGGACCTGAAGCAAGGAAGAGCAGCGGGGGGGGGAGAGGGGCAGTGCGGTAGGGGAAAAGACGGTAAAAGGGAACCGAATCATCAAACTTGACGTCCAGAGAGGGCACGACACGGCGCGAGGTGGGGTGGTAAAACTGCCCTCCAGACGCGTCAGGGGGAAAGCCAAGGAACACCGACGCATCCCCGTCCAACGCAGTGTGGGCGAGGTCTCTGGCAAGGAGACACGGGGCCAGAGGTTGAGCTGATGCGCAGTGTACCGGACCGCAAACGGCCACAGAAAATGGGGAGCAGCCGCATGGATCATGGAGGTACGAGCCACCTCCATGACTAAGCCAATGCGACGCTCC